TGATATTGAGCCCGGTTAGTGACTGCCTGGGAATACCGGTTGCTGTATGCTTTTTCTTTTTTCATATTTTATTTTTAATCAACGGTTAGTATCTGGTTGCTTTTGTCATTCGTGGCCGCCAATTACTTTTGCATACGGTTTTTTCACTTTTTTTTCGCCTTATCACTATTTAAACCAAACGAAACGACCGTGTGAAATTTTTCATCTTATTTTCATTATCGGGTTTTTTTTCATAGTGATATCAATTGAATGGCGTCGTGGGTGAACAATAGGCGTTACGTCTAAACGGTATAACTATAAATAAAGGAGCATTCATAGCAGACTCTTTCATCTACGGCCATATCACGTTGAAAACTCTTCAAAACAACGAAACACAACAGTGGCGCAGTCGACAGGATTTTCCCTGATTTACGGTGAATACTAATTAGCAGAATGGCGGAAATGGAGGAGATGATAAAAATGTTCGCTGAAATGATGTCAAAGCAACAGTTCGAAATCACGAAGATATTGCTATCTTTTCAAGTCACGACAGTACCGAAATTCGAATCATTCTAGCTCGAAAAGTAGTTGTTCAAAGACTACATCAAAAGGTTTGGACTTTCTCTCTGGCCAATTCAGTCTCGAAGCAAAAGGTAGCTCAGATTTTTTTTACAAATTAGAGTTCGGATATATATATAACCCTGGAGACGGTTTCAAAACAAATGTCTCCACCTTGTGATGTAAACTTATTGGATTTCAAGGAGATGGTCGAATATATGAATTCAGTTTCCAATCATACAACTTTTCTGATTAGGGAACGCTACAAATTTTGGACAAACTGCAAAAGAAAACCGGGCGAATCAGTTCAAGAATTAGCAAACCGAATTCGACAGTCTGCAGCTACATGTGATTTTTTTAATATTGAAAACCCATTAGATGAAGCGTTGAGGACAAATTTCATTTGCAACATTCAAAATGAAGCAATTTTGAAAGCTTTTCAGGATTCCAAAACCTCAGCTTTCCTTTTCCAAAGCTATAGAGGTTGCGGATGAAATTGAAAGTGCAGCAACAGTAGCTAAAGACACGGTCTATGGGGTAAATTTCATAGTGATCCGGTTCTGCTGGTACATTCCAAAAAAGATAATGAAAGATCCAAAAGGGACTTTTAAACCAGGTAGGGATTTTGGAAAGTTCCATCCAAATTTCAATTCGTCATGTCACAGATGTGGAAAACATGGCCACTGAGCCTCAGATTGTTCCTCCAAAGAGATGAAGTGCTCATACTGCAATAAAATGGGTCATGTAAAGCAAGTGTGTTTTGCTGCAAAAATCAAAAGAAACGTCTTAACCATAAAAACTATTAAAGATGATGATCAACTGCAGCTAGAGCTATATTTTAAGAACTTCAACAAAACTTTTGAAGTGGACAGTGTTGAATTGGTCATCAAATTCCAAGAAATTACAACACCAGTTTTTAGAAAACCACGAACTGTTCCTTTTGCAATACAAGACAAAGTATATGAAGATCTGGAAGATAGGGTGAGACGAGGAATTTGGAACCCCACTGATTACAATGATTGGGGAACTCCTGTAGTCATAATAATTAAGAAAGGCACAAACTCCAAAACCAATCAACGAATATGTGGTGATTTTTTAGTGACAGTTAATCCTCAACTCGAGTTTCACAGATACCCAATGCCTTTGCCTGAGGACCTCATGAGGAAATTAGCCGGAAGTTTGTATTACTCCAAAATCGATCTGGCCGATGCATACAATCAGATTCAACTTTCAAAAGAGAGCCAAAAACGTCTTGCTTTAAGCACACATCGAGGGGTGTTTCTTCAAAAACGTTCACCGTTTGGTATCATATCGGCTCCAGCATATTTCCAGGAAATCATGGATAGACTCACTAATGATTTTCCAAATGTGGTGGTTTACTTGCATGACATTTTGATTGGTGGAAAATCAGCAAATGAACACATCCAAAGTTTGAGAAAACTATTTCAGCGTCTCCAAGAAAAGGGTCTTAAATGCAATAGCCATAAATGTTCATTTGCCAGACAATCTGTTGAGTACTTGGGTCATACCATTTCTCATAAGGGGATAGGCCCAGGTAAAAAAATTGATGCCGTAGATTTAATGCCCCAACCAGAAAATGTTTCAACATTAAAATTATTTCTTGGATCGGTTCAATTTTACAAAAAGGATCAGAACGTCCTATTTTCAATGTTTCAAAGAAACTTTCAAGTGCTCAGAGAAATTACAGCCAGATTCATAAGGAAGCACTTGCAATTATTTTTGCCGTACAAAAATTCCATTCATACCTGTTTGGAAGAAAGTTCCCAATTGTGACGGATCACAGACCACTTCTGGTATTATTNGACCCGACGA